AATTTTTGCTTGCCCTTTTTCTACTTAAAATTAGCAACGGTGAAGAAATCACTTTTAAAAATGTGACAATTAAGTGGGACCAAGATGAAACAAATTTTGCCACTGGTGACAATTTGAAAAAAATCATTCCTAGTGAAGAAAAAATTTTCGTGCGTATTAGTGGTGACGTTCCTGTTTTGCACGAAAAATCGATTTATGGTATACCTAATCTGAGAGCATTGAGAATGGTTAGTGTAGGTCTGGAAGAAATCAAACATGGAGCTTTTGGGAACTTATCAGTGTTACATTATTTGGATTTAAGTAGCAACAAACTAACGGAAATCAAAAGTGGTACCTTCTGTAATCTAAAGATGACTACTATAAACTTGGCAAGTAATTTGATCATTTCTTTGCAACCTGGAGCTTTCAAGAATATCACCGTTCAAAACTTACGACTCAACAACAACAAATTAACTGAACTTCCGAGTACCGTTTTCGAAAATGTGACTGTCAGAAACTTGGAACTACATTACAATTACATCCACACGATTGCACCACAAGCATTTTCGACAATCTGTTTGGAAAGTTTGGTTCTGTATAACAATAAGCTTGAAAAAATTGATCCGGAAGCTCTTAATATCTCCGAATTAAAAATGCTTGCTTTGGGTTTTAACCAAATTGAGTTTCTACGACCTGGGGATTTGAAAAATTTACCCCAGTTAGAGGAACTATCATTTATAAATAATAACTTGGTAGAAATTCCAGAAGGAGTTTTCAACAACACCAAAATCAAGGACTTGAATCTACACTACAACAAAATTATCAAAATTGGGACTAAAGCTTTCGATGATATGTCAAGACTTGAAAAACTGGATATCGCGTTTAATAATCTAAGTCTGTGGGATAATAACTGGTTGAATGGATCATCACAGCTTAGTAGTTTTAAGGCTGGTTACAATCAAATTACTGAGATACCAGATGAAGCGTTCAAGAATTATCCTCGCTTGGTTTACCTTGGTCTTCAAGAGAACAAAATTGGAAGAGTTTCGATGAAAGCTTTTCATAAGTTGGAACATGTTGTTAATTTAGACTTGTTTTCTAATGAGATTGACAGTTGGGGTCCAGATTTGCTGGCCAATGTTAGTATTGATAGAATCGATCTTAGCAGGAACAAGTTAAAATGTATTGAGGGAGATCTGGATCAAGTTTTTAGGAATGTGGCTGATTATGTGTCTTTGTGGGGCAATCCATGGAGTGAAGGGTGTGCTGAGAAGATGAGGGAGTTTGTGAAGAAGAAGAAGATCCTAGGTTAAGATCAGACGGGGGCCAAATTTTAATATAATAATTTTTTACTTAATGATAATTTCAAGTCAAGAAAAATCCCATATAAACAAAAGAGACTAAATAAGAAAAGAAAATAAAGTCTATGAAATGATGAGTCTTGTCTTTTATTTTAAGGTCAGTTTGATCAAGAGTTAAAAGAAAATGTGTCTTCTATTTTGTATTAATTTTTAGATAGTTTTCCGATCTTTTGATTTTTTGATTTCTCGATGTCTCGGTTTTTGAATTTGTCGGTGTTTCGATATTTCGATTTTTTAATTTACCAATTTTTTTAATTTTCGAGTTTTGATTTCTCGATTTTTAAATTTTAGATTTTCGAATTTTTGTTTTTTTGACTTTTTGATGTTTGGATTTTCCTATTTTTCAATTCTACGATATTTTAAATTTTCAATGCTCTAAACTGTTGATTTTTCCATTTTTCAGTTCTTCAATAATTTTAATTTTTCAAATTCTTCAGTTCTTCGCAGTTTCGATTTTGCAGTTCTTCAGCTCTTCAATTTTCGATTTTTTAGGTTTTTGATTCTTCAATTTTTCGTTGTTTTAAGTTTGTGATTTTTCAACTTGGCTTTTTTGATTTTTCGATTTCTCAATTTTTCAATTTTTGAAATTAACAATTTTTGGATATTTCGTTCAATTTTGTGACTTTTCTGTTTTTTTCAATTTTCAGATATTTCAGTTTTGGAGTTTTTTTGTATTTCGAATTTTCGATTTTTTTGTATTTCGAATTTTCGATTTTTTGAGTTCTGGATTTTTCGATTTCTCGACATTTTACGTTTTGGATTTTCAATTTTTCGTTTTTAAAACTTTACATTTTCTATGTTTCGAGTGTTTATACTACGATATTTTAGTTTTTCTATTTTTATAATTTTCAGTTTTTCGATATTTTTAAATTTTGAAGTTCCAACTTATTTTTTAATTTTTCGAGTTTCCAATTTTTCAATTTTTCGAAAAATCGAAAAGTTAAAAATAGAAAAATTGAAACCAAAATATCGAAACATCCGTATTTCGATAATCGAGAACTCAAAAACTTGAAAAATCAAAAATTTAAAAATTCGGAGAATTGAAAAAATAAAATATAGAAGAACTGATAAATCGACAAATCGAGAAATTGAAACCCAAGAATTAAACAAATTGAAAAATTGAAAAATCGGATAACTGAAAAATCGAAACATCGAAAAATTGGAAAATGAAAAAATTGAAAACGCCAAAAGTAAAAAATCAAAAAACCGAGAAACCCAAAAGTCGAAACATCGAAAAATTCAAAAACTGAGACATCGAGACCTCGAAAAATCAGACGAACGAGAAATTGAGGAGTCGAAAGCCGAAAAGAAAAGTTAAAAATTGAAAAATTGATGAGAAATTTTAAAAAAGAAAAATTGGAAAATCGTAAATAAAAAGCTTCGGAAAATTGAGAAACTGAAATATACAAGAAGAACTGAAAACTCGAGAAATCGAAAAACCTAGGATTTTAAAAATTGAGAAGTCGAAAAATCGAAAAATTGAAAAATCAAAAACCGGAAAAATTGAAGAACTGAAGAACAGGAAAATCGAATACAATCGAAAGTCAAGAAATGGAAAAATCAAACCATCGATTAATTGAAAAATGGAGAAATTAATAATTTAGTCAAAAATTGAAAAATCCAAATATTTAAAAATCATAAAATTGAAGAGAAAATTTAAAAAACGTAAAACTAAAACATCGGAGTCGGAAGCCGAGAAGAAAAGTTAAAAATTGAAAAATCGAAAGTAAAAAAATTCGGAAAATAAAAAAATTTAAATATAGAGGAACTAAAAACTCGAGAAATCGAATAACCTAGAAGTTTTGGAAAGTTGAAAAATTCAGAAATCAAAGTATAAATCAGTCGAAAAATTAAAAAATCTAAAGTTTAACGAAAAATTGAAAATCGAAAAAGTGAAAAATCGCGAAATCAAAAAATCCAGGAGTACAAAAATTGAAAAATCACAAAACTGAAAAATTGAGAAATCGAAAACTAAAAAAGCAAATTCGAAAAATCGTGAGCTTAAAAATCGAAAAATTGAAGATTTGAAACAATCGAAGCTTTGGGAAGTTGGAAAATGGTAAAAATCTAAAATGGAAGAATCGAAAAATCGAAAACCGAGTAGTCGAAAAATCGAAAGATCGAGCAATTGAAGCACAAAAAATTGAAAAATCTTAAATTTAAAAATGGAAACATTTTAAAACTCTAAGAAAATCCAAGAAAATCGAAAAATCTAAAATTTCAACAACTGATAATTAAAATCCGGAAAATCTAAAATTTGAAAAGAGAAAACGAATAAATCGAAAAATTGAGAAACTGAAAAATCGAACTGAAGAATCGAAAAATTGAAAGATCGGGAGATCGAAAAGTCAAAAAATCGGAAACTATAAAAAACAAAAATCGGGAAATTGGACAATCGAAAAGTCGAAACATCGAAATCTCTATAAATCTAGAATACGAAAAATTGAAAAAGCAAAAACTCAACAAAATCTAAAATTTAAAAATTTGAAAAATTGAAAAATCGAAAAATATAAAATCTGAAAAATCGAAAAACTGAAAAGTTCCGAAAGTGAAATCTCAAATAATCGGAAAAACGAAAAAAATAAAAAGTCGAAATATCTAAAAATTAAGAGATCGAGAAATCGGAATAACATAAAATCGAAAAATTGAAAAGTTAAAAATTGAAATTGGAAAATTTAAAACTAAACACAAAAATTTGAAAAATCAAATTATTAAAATCTCGATAAATCCACAATACGAATAATTGAAGAGTCGAACATTTTAAAACCAAAAAATAGAAAAACAGAAAAAAAAAATTAAACATCGAAAAATTGAAAAACCCAAAAACCGAAAAAGCGAAAACCAGGGGTTAAAAAATCGAAACTTCAAAAAAATCTAAATTTTAAACGTTCCAAAAATTGAAAAATAAAAAACTCCAAAAATTAAAAAATTGACAAATCAAAAAATCGAAACGAAAAACCAAAAAAACTCAAATATAGAAAAACTGATAAATCGATAATTCGAAAAATCGAAGGAAAAATGGAAAAATCGAAAAATCGATTAATCCAGAAATAACAAAATTTAGAAACGCAAAAAATTGGGAAATTGAAAAATCGAAAAATTGAAGAATCGAAAAATAGAAAAATTAAAAACCTGAAAAATTCACTTAAACTGAAATATTCAAAAATTGCTAAACAGATAAAACGAGAAATTGAAAAACTAAAAATTGAGGAATCATTGAGAGATTGCGAAATTGAAAAGTAGAAAAATTGAAAATTTTAAAAAACGAAAAATTTAAAATTTTAAAAATCGAAAAATGTAAAATTCAAGAACCTCGAAGCTTTGGGAAGTTGGAAAATGGGAAAATAAAAAATAGATTACTTCACAAACTGGAAAAATAAAAAAATCGAGAAATAAAAAATTTGAAGAATGTAAAAATTGGAAAAACCTAAAATTGAGATGTTGAATAATTGAGATATATAAAAGTAGAGAAATCGAAAAGCAATCCCATTCCTTATAGGAAAAACACAACTTAATTTTGTTATTATTTCCGTGGCCTGTTCGTTTCAAACAAACAAGTTTCCTTATCAAAACAAGTCAGTCTTTAATGATTCATTTCACCTTGGCACCGTCATTATGATTTGCCTTCTCCAAATTTATAAATACGGTGATCACTCTGTGCAAGCCACTTCAGTATACAACATGAGTGCATTACTGCTAAAATTATTTTTGTGTATTTTTCTTTATAAAATTAGTAACGGTGAAGACATCACTTTTAAAAATGTCACAATTCAGTGGCTAAACCCAAGCAAAAATGGAACAATAACTGGTACTGGCGACAATTTGAAAAACATCATTGCTGGTGAAGAATGGTCAGTCGTGAAGGTCAGTGGAAAAATTCCCGTATTGTATGAAAAATCAATTAGTGACATTCCCAGTTTGAAAAATCTGGAACTGTCTGGTGTGAGTCTAGAAGAAATTAAACCTGGTGCTTTTGGAAATTTGCCACTCTTAAAGGGTTTGAATTTGAGCGAAAATAATTTAAGTGAAATAAAAAGTGACACTTTCACCGACCTGAACATGTTCATTTTCGATTTAAAAGACAACGCAATTTCCTCTCTACAACCTGGAGCCTTCAAAAATCTCAAAGCCGGACTTCTGATTCTGGATTCTAACAAACTTACTAAACTTTCATCTGGTGTCTTCGAAAATGTGACCATCGATATTTTGAGACTGGTTTCTAATCACCTCCATACGATAGCACCAAACGCATTACCAGCCAATTTGGTTCATTTGAGACTAGACCACAACAAAATTGAAGAAATCGATCCAGAAATTTTCGACATACCTCAGTTAGTAACGCTCGCTTTGTCCTTCAACTCCCTTAAGTTTCTACGACCCGGTGATTTGAAAAACTTGCCAGGATTAATATTCGTGCACTTGGACAATAATCAGTTGGAAGAGATTCCAGGAGGAGTTTTCAATAGCACAGAAATCCGTTTTTTGACTTTATACCGAAACAAAATTGTTAAAATTGAGAGTCAAGCTTTCGACAATATGTCAGACATAAGAGCGTTCGAGGTAGATAATAATAATCTAACCTTTTGGGATAACAACTGGTTGAAAGGAACACCAAAACTTAACGACATCGGGGCTAGTTTTAATCAAATTACTGACATTCCAGACGAAGCGTTCAAGAATTTTCCACATTTGCGCAGTATTGATCTTAGTTGGAATAAAATTAGGACCATTTCGACTAAAGCTTTTTATAAACTGAAGCGTGTCGATGATCTGGATCTAAGTAATAATGAGATTGACAATTGGAGCCTCGATTTGTTGACTAATGTAACTAGTGTTCGTACACTTCGTCTTGCCTATAACAAGCTGAAGTGCATCGATGGAGATTTGGCTAAAGTATTTGGGATTGTTGGTTACGTGTCCCTGTCGGACAACCCATGGGATGACAACTGTGTCCAGAAAATTCTGAATTTTCATCAAAATTAGTAATGCTTCAGTTGATTAATTTACGCATATTTTGGTTTAATAAAAATACATTCCGACGAATCGTTTTATTTACTCCTGTAATTTTTGATAAGTTTTAAAATTTATGATAAAATCTGTTTATGACAAAAAATATAAATTCAAAAAAATATACAGAAATTATTCGGTTTGTGTTAAATAAGCATACCAATATTACTAATGCTCCTCCCACTTGCATAAGCTCCACCTTAATATCTTTTCGATGTAAACATTGATGGCAAAGTCGTTTTTCGAATGAAAATCCAAACTTTACAAAAAAAGCCTATGTTTAACTTATATTATTTGTCAATCTAAAATCTAATTTTCGTGTCAGAGCTAATAAAATAAATTACCAAAACGGTGTAGGGGTGGGTGGGTGGGGACACTTTGGCTTTGCTTTAAATCACAGATTCTACCTCTTGTCAAATCAAGATTCGAATCCTTTTAACACTAAACTAGATAAGTCAGTGAAATGGATGAAGGAAGTGGGCGGAGCTAAGTTTAGCATTTTTCTACAGCCTTATAAGCAAGTAATAGCCCCTCCCACCCACCCTCTCTTGATTCTAGCGACTATTATTAATATTGTTAACTAATGACAACTCTGGAATTGTGAATCTGTTTAAGAGAAAAAATATAAATTAAAAAAAATATATAGAAATTATTCGGCTGGTGTTAAATAAGCATACAAATATTACTGATGCTCCTCCCAATTGTATAACCTCCACCTTAATATATCATTTCATTGGCCGGGGTTTATAGTTGTAACTCATTGTGTCTATTTTATATAATTTCAAAGTCTAAAAATCGAAAAATCAAAGAATTGAAGAACTCAACAAAACGAAACCTTGAGAAGTCGAGAAATGGGAAAATCAAAAATAGATTAAATGAGAAATCGGAAAACTGAAAAACTAGCAACGTCAAAATATGAAAAATTGAAAAATAGAAATACTGAAAAACTGAAAAATAAATAAAAAAATCCACAAATCCAAAAATCGAAACATCGAAAAATTCAAAAACTGAGACATTGAGATCTTGAAAAATCACAGGATCGCGAAATTGAGGAGTCGAAAGCCGAGAAGAAAATTTAAAAACTGAAATAATAAATAGAGGAACTGAAAACTGAAAAAATCGAAAAACCTAGAATTTTCAAAATTGAAAAATTACATCGGACAGTTGAAAAATTCAGAATTCAAAAATCAAAGTATAAAAAAAATAAAAACTCCCAAAACTAAAAAATTGAAAAATTAAAAAATTGGAAAATTGAGAAATCGAAATCTAAAAAAGCAAAGTCGAAAATTTGTAAGCTTAAAAAATTGAAAAATCAAAGAATTGAAGAACTCAAAAAAACGAAACCTTGAGAAGTCGAGAAATGGGAAAATCAAAAATAGGTTAAATGAGAAATCGGAAAACTGAAAAACTAGCAACGTCAAAATATTAAAAGTTGAAAAATAGAAATACTGAAGAACTGAAAAATAAAAAAATCCACAAATCCAAAAATCGAAACATCGAAAAATTCACAAACTGAGACATTGAGATCTTGAAAAATCACAGGATCGCGAAATTGAGGAGTCGAAAGCCGAGAAGAAAATTTAAAAATTGAAATAATAAATAGAGGAACTGAAAACTGGAGAAATCGAAAAACCTAGAATTTTCAAAACTGAAAAATTACATCGGACAGTTGAAAAATTCAGAATTCAAAAATCAAAGTATAAAAAAATTGAAAATCCAAAAAGTAAAAAATCAAGAAATCAAAAAATCCAAAATTTTAAAAAACGAAAAATCAGGAAATTGAACAATCGAAAAATTCAAAAATTCAAAAATCGAAAAATTGGAAAATTCCTAAAGTGAATCTCAAATAATCGGGAAATCGAAAAAAAGGAAAAGTCGAAATATCAAAAAATTAGAAGATAGAGAAACCGAAATAACATATAATCGAAAAATCGAAAAGTTAAAAATTGAAAAATTTAATACTAAAAATAAAAACTCGAAAAATCAAATTATCAAAATCTCGATAAATCCACAATACGAAAAATTGAAGAGACGAAAAATTTTAAAACTGAAAAATTGAAAAATAGAAAAAAAAATTACATATTGAAAAATTGAAAAACCGAAAAATCGAAAACCGAGAGGTCGGAAAACCGAAAGATAAAAAAATGGAAACTTCAAAAAAAATCTAAAATTTAAACGTTCCAAAAATTGAAAAATAGAAAAATCCAAGAACTGAAAAATTGAATAATCAAAAAGTCGAAGTGAAAAATCGAAAAACTTAAGAATCGAAGTGGTGAAAAATTCCAAAACTAAAATATAGAAAAATGATAAATCGATAAATCGAAACATCGTAGGAAAAATGGAAAAATCGAAAACTTGAAAGATAGCGAAATGGGAAAGTAAAAAAATCGAAAAAGTTGAAATGTCAAAAAATCGAGAAATAAGAAAATTTAGAAACGCTAAAAATTGGGTAAATTGAAAAATCGAAAAATTGAAAAATTAAAAACCTGAAAAATAGAAAAATTCGAAAATCGAAACTGAAATATAGTAAAATTGCTAAACAGATAAAACGAGAAATCGAAAAACTAAAGATCGAAGAAACATTGAGGAATCATTTAGAGATTGAGAAATTGAAAAGTGGAAAAATTGAAAATTTTAAAAATCGAAAAATTTAAAATTCAGAAATCTTGAAAAAATCGAAGCTTTGGGAAGTTGAAAAATGGGAAAATAAAAAATAGATTACTTCAGAAACTGGAAAAATAAAAATTTAGAAATTTGAAAAATTGAAAATAAAATTGAAGAAGACAAAAATTGAGAAATTGTATAATTGAAACGAAAATTGAGAAATGGAAAAATAACAAAATTGAGAAATCAAAAATTTGAAGTATGAAAAAATTGAAAAAACCTAAAATTGAAATACTGAATAATTGAGACATATAAAAGTAGAGAAATCGAAAAGCAATCCTATTCTTTACAGGAAAAACACAACTTACAATTTTTTTACAGCCTTATAAGCAAGTAATAGCCCCGCCCACCCACCCTGTCTTAATTCTGGTGACAACTCTTAATATTGTTAACTAATGACAACGTTATTATATTATTGAATCTCTGGTAATTGTGAATCCGTTTATGAGAAAAAATATAATTTTAACAAAATGTATAGAAATTATTCGGCTGGTGGTAAATAAGCATACCAATATTACTGATGCTCCTCCCACTTGTATAAGCTCCACCTTAATATCTCATTTCATAGGCCGGGGTTTACAGCTGTACCTCATTGTGTCTATTTTATATAATTTTTAAACATTTCAATGTAAACACTGATGGCAAAGTAGTTTTTTGTATAAAAATCCAAATTTATTAACACCCTGTATTTAGCATTCAGGATTAATGAGCATAGATTGAATCTCAGTCTTTACAAATCTATCAACCAAGTCTTTAAATAATACGTGGTTTCATAAAAAAATCCAAACTCTGTATTAATTATTGTTACAATAAATGAAATGAGTCTAGTTATCCGAACCAGTCTGGTGATAACGTTTTAGCTTGTCTTGACAGCAACTTTCTACTAATTTACAAATAGGATGCTCACTGAGAAAACCACTTCAGTATTTAAAATGTATTCACTCCAACTAGTTCTCGCCATTTTGTTACTTAAAATTGGTAATGGTAAAGAAATCACTTTCAAAAATGTGACAGTTGCGTGGTGGAAAGATAACACAGATCAAACAATTTTTGGTACTGCCGACAATTTGAAGAAAATCATTCCAAGTGAAGAAGAAATGTACGTGGGGGTTAGTGGCTACATTCCCGTTTTATATGAACAATCGGTGTATGGAATACCTAATTTGAAATCGCTGCATCTAGAAAATGTGAGTTTGAAAGAAATCAAACCAGGAGCTTTTGGAAATTTGCCCCTTTTACAATATTTGGTTTTAAGTGACAATAACCTAACTGAAATCAAAAGTGGTACCTTCACTAACCTAAACCTATCTGAGACAGACTTGACAATGAATTTAATCAACTCGCTGCAACCTGGAGCTTTCAAGAATGTAACTCTCAAATACCTAAGACTCAATAACAACAAACTTACTGAATTTACGAGTGGCGTTTTCGAAAATGTGACCCTCACAGGATTGCACCTGTACGAAAATCACATCCACACGATTGCGCCAAACGCATTTTCAACAATTTCGATGGATAGTTTGAATCTATTTTACAACCAAATTGAAAAACTTGATCCTGAAACTTTCACCAACTCCGAATTAACAACGCTCATTTTGAGTTACAACCGCATCAAGCTTCTACGAGCTGGAGATTTGAAAAACTTACCCCAATTAGAGAGACTATCACTCAAAAATAATAATTTGACAGAAATTCCGGAGGGCGTTTTCAACAACACCAAAATCACCGACTTGGAGCTGCATCACAACAAAATTGTTAAAATTGCGTCTAAAGCTTTTAACGACATGTCAGGACTCAGAGGGCTGAATATTGCGTTTAATAAACCAACGTCGTGGGACAATGGTTGGTTAGATGGATCATCGCAACTTAGTGTTTTTAGGGCTAGTTTTAATCAAATTGCTGAGATTCCGGACGAAGCGTTCAAGAATTATCCTCGTTTGTACTATTTGGCTCTTCAAGGGAACAAAATTGCGAAGCTTTCGATCAAAGCTTTTCGTAAGTTAGGATATGTTGAATATTTAAGTTTGAATTCTAACGAGATTGATACTTGGGGTAAGGACATGCTGGTTAATGTTAGTGTTGGTACTCTTGATCTTAGAATGAACAAGCTGAAATGTATTGAAGGAGATTTGGATCAAGTTTTTGGGAGTGTAATCGATGGTGTATATTTGTCGAATAATCCATGGAGTGAAGGGTGCGCTAAAAAGGTAGAGGAGTTTTTGAAGAAAAAAAATCAGGATGTTTAGTGTACCATTTTCTATTATAGAACGTGTAAGAGCATAAAAATTTAGCAATGGAATGATGAGTTTTCTGTTTCCTGTATTAAATAAGTAGTTGTCTATGAAGTGAAACACGTTTACGAAAGCAT